CGGGAGGGTCGGCAGCGCTCGCTTTGCCCCCAGCTTCCACGCGCGGCGCCATGGCCGGCAGGGGCCCCGAGGACGAGCACCCGTCCGTGGCACTCTTCCGCCGGTACCTGCGCATCCGCACCGTCCAGCCGGAGCCCGACTACGGTGAGCGCGCGGCGGGGCACCGGGGGCGGGGACGCCTGTCACCCAGCCGAGCCCCACTCTGCTGCCCCAAATGGCACCGCAACCCCCCTGGACATCCCCCAGGTCAAAGGCTGCGGCAGCCCGTCCAGGCTGTGGAGGGACCGATCCTGCAGAGCCGGGGCTCCTCCCAAGTGACTCCTGGGTGGGGAGGGGAGGCCGAGGCAGCCGCTTGGACGAACAGGCCCTCCAAGTCCACTGGGGCTGGACAAAGGCCACAGCCCTTAGGGAGTCAAGCTTGGTGTCTGGGAACTGTGTGCATGGGTCCAAATTCCTGCTGTGATTTTCCACCTGGGAGATGCCGGGTGGCTTTCCTGTCCCTGCGCCATAACTGCCCCTTCTTTAAGGAACAGGACGCCACCTTCTAACCCTGGACTTCCCACCTGGCCTTCCACGAAGGGTCACTGATTGGCCCAAATTCGCTTCTCCCGTGGGGGCAGAAATGCAGGTGTCTCTGAGAGATGTGCAGTTGTGTCGAGGCAGCAGCCCATCTGGGGGGGGGTCTGCTCCCCTCTCTGGATGTGCCTCCAAGCTCTGCCTGGGCAGGGGGGAGGAAGCCTGGGAAGGCAGAAGCAGCCCCAAGCCTCTGTGTCCGCAGGGGCCGCTGTCGCCTTCCTCGAGGAGAGAGCCCACCAACTGGGCCTGGGCTGTCAGAAAGTGGAGGTGAGCCCAGGGCCCAGTGTGGGGAGCAGAAGTGGGCCTGGGGCACCTCCATACCCTGCACTGAACTTCCCTCCTGGCCCTCCCCAGGTGGCACCTGGCCGTGTAGTGACCGTGCTGACCTGGCCAGGCAGCAACCCCAAACTTTCCTCCATCTTGCTCAACTCCCACACGGATGTGGTACCTGTCTTCAAGGTGTGTGAGTGTGGGGAGGGAGGGTGGGGATAAGGTGAGGCATACCCCCTCCACCTCAGGGAGCCCTGGTGCTGGTCCTGGCACTGACGCTGACCTCATTGGGCATCATTCCACTTGAGCAGCCTTGGTCCAGCTGCTGTTTCACGCCCAGGTAGGGGTAGAGGTGGGACGCAGAGATGAGGGCTGGCAGTCTGATGCCCTCTTCTGTCGCCTTCACCACCCGCCTGTCAACCCTACAATGGGCTCCTAGGGCAGGACCATAGTTGAGCACAGTGGATTAATGACAGAATGTGGGGCTTGGGTCCCTCTTCCCATCCCTGCCCCCAGGAATACTGGAGTCATGACCCCTTCGAGGCCTTCAAGGATGCCGATGGCTACATCTATGCCAGGGGTGCCCAGGACATGAAGTGTGTCAGCATCCAGTGAGTGTCCTCCCCACAGTGTCCCCGCTGCCCATGGAGTGGCCCAACCTCAAGGCCGAGGAACACCTTGACCCCTACACTGGGCAGGAAGTACAGGACAGGGACTTCCCTGAGTCCCCTGCCAGGCTCTGGCAGAGCAAGGTCCAGGGCCTACAGCTCCAGCCTGCCCGCCTGGTGGCTCCCTCGGCACCTGGCTTACACCCTCTCGCTGCCCCTCAGGTACCTGGAGGCTGTGAGGAGGCTGAAGGCTGAGGGCCACCGTTTCCCCAGAACCATCCACATGACCTTTGTGCCAGGTGGGAGTGGCTCCGGGAGGGGCACCTTTAGGGAGAGGGGGGTGTTGGGGGCATGGCTCCCTCATCTCACATCCCTGCTGCTTTTACAGATGAGGAGATTGGGGGTCACCGAGGCATGGAGCTGTTTGTACAGCAGCCCGAGTTCAAGGCCCTCAGGGCTGGCTTTGCCCTGGATGAGGGTGAGCAGGGTGGCAGGTCACTGAGTGGCCAGCGGGATGGGGAGGCTGCTAGTGGGGCTGTGCCACTCCACCCTCTGAACCCCTTCCTCCCTCCTTAGGCCTGGCCAACCCCACTGACACCTTCATTGTCTTCTACAGCGAGCGGAGCCCCTGGTGTGAGTACGACTTGGAGGGAGAGGGTGACTGCAGATGGGAGACTAGGCTAGAAGGGGCAGGGGCCCGAGTAGGCCTGGAACCCTGCCTCACAGCCCCTCCTTGCCTGGGCTTCTCCTTCCCGAGCCCCTGAGGGCAGAAACCAGCCCTGTACTGTGCGCTCTGCGGGGACAGAGCCCTGCCAGAGGAGCTGTGAACGAGTTGCAGCCCTGGGCCCACCCAAGGACTGAGTGCTTTCCCAGCCTCCCATGCTGAAGGTACCCCTCCCCCTGCATCTCCCAGGGGTGCGGATCACAAGCACCGGGAAGCCTGGCCATGGCTCCGTATTCATCGAGGACACCGCCGCAGAGAAGCTGGTGGGTGGCCCCGGGGATGGAATCTGGGAGTTCCTGGGACTGTGTCCCGGGCCTCTCTCACATCTAACCTCACACCCCCCCAGCACAAGGTCATAGCCTCCATCCTGGTTTTTCGGGAGAAGGAGAGGCAGAGGTGAGGCAGCCTGGGAGGCACTGGGGCTGGGAGGCTGTGCCAGACAGGAGGGATGCCAGCCTGGTTTTTATCTGTTGTCCTCTTGCTGCCCCTGCCCCCCACTGCAGGCTGCAGGCAAACCCCCACCTGAAGCTGGGCGCTGTGACCTCTGTGAACCTAACTAAGATAGAGGGCGGCGTGTCCTATAACGTGGTACCTGCCACCATGAGCGCTGGCTTTGACTTCCGCGTGGCACCGGATGTGGATCTGAAGGTGCCACCACCACCTGGGTTTGGAGGAGGGAGCCTGGGTCCTCAATGCTGTCCTAGAGGCTCAGGGAGAGCCTGAGGGATCAGCTCATCTCCCTTCTCGTAGGCTTTCGAGGAACAGCTTCAGGGCTGGTGCCAGGCAGCTGGCCCGGGGGTCACCTTCGAGTTTGCTCAGGTACCAACCGAATGATGGGGGAGTCGTGGGAGCTGGGGAGACAGGGCCTGTAGGAGTGTGTGCTGGATGTGCTGCACACACCTGGGCGTTGCTTTAGCTGAGAGATTCATGCTAATCCCCTGCCAGCATTTGCTGTGAGGCCGCTGGGTGCCGGGGAGTCAAATGACAGTTCAGTCCTTAGCTCTTACAGCACGAAGGGGGGATAGACATGAGTCAATTTTTACAGGATATTTTTATATAAGTATAAATATATGGTCCAGAAAAGGGTAAGACCTTGAACTGAGAACTGAAATGCATTTTGGACCAGTCTGAGAGGTCGGGGAGAGCTGTCTTGAGGAGGGGGCATGGGCTAGGACCTGAAGGATGGACAGCAAGTAGGTAGGCAGAAGGCAGTGAAGGTCCTTCGAGGAACTGGAAGGGGGCCTGTGGCTGGGCTGGCCAGCTGGCTCTCTGGGCAGGTGTGGGAGGTGGGGGTGGGGTGTCCGGTGCTGGGCACATACCCACCCTGTGAAAACAGAGCAAGATGCCCAGGCCTTGTCCTGATCCTGCCACCCTTCTCTTCCCCCCAGAAGTGGACGGAGCCGCAAGTGACATCTACTGATGACTCAGACCCCTGGTGGGCAGCATTCAGTGGGGCCTGCAAGGACATGTGAGCACACTGGCCTGCCTTCCTCTCCCTCCTGCTCTCCGCTGCCTCCTTCCAGCTGCCTTTGCCCCTTCAGTCCTTGCCTTGCCCTCTCCCCTCTGCCTCCCACTCACCAGGCTCTGCCTCTGCAGGAACCTCACTCTGGAGCCCAACATCTGCCCCGCTGCCACCGACAGCCGCTATCTCCGCGCGGTGAGCTGCTCGCAGCAGGACGGGCAGGGGGGTGGCCTGGACGGTGGCCTTCTCCCTAATGGTTCCCTCTCACCTGCAGGCGGGTGTCCCAGCTCTGGGCTTCTCCCCCATGAACCACACACCTGCGCTGCTGCACGACCACGATGAGCGGCTGCACGAGGCCGTGTTCCTCCGTGGGATTGACATATACACACGGCTGCTGCCTGCCCTGGCCAGTGTGCCCGCCCTGCCCAGCGACAACTGAGCCCACACTCCCCAGCCTCTACCCCTGGAGCTTCCACCCTGACCGGTGCCAAGGACCCCTCTTCTCCCTGCCCCACAATCAAGTCTGTGTGGACAGAGGCCATGAAATACCAATGGCAAGGACATTCATGGAGCAGGGATGCTCATTCCTCTGGGGACATGCCGTTACCATCCCCATGGCAGAGGAGGAAGCTGAACCTAGCTTTGAGTGCTTCCCCCCCACCCCCACTGCTGTGTCCTTTGACACAGTACACCTGTCCTGAACCAGCCACGTCTGTCCAGCAACAAGGTGCCAGCCTTCCTGTTCTCAGTGGCCACCGTATCTATAGGGTGTCCCAAAAAATTTATACACACTTTAACAGCTGATAGCTCACTTGGTGTTTCTTTCTTTTCTGATTTAATAAACACTGCCTTTATAATTATTCAAACTGTGTATACATTTTGGGGGGATACCCTATATATATGTTATGGGATCACGGATACCTTTCCCACTGAGGGGGACACCAAGACACAGATCTCAGGGAGCACATTCAGGACCCAGAGCCAGAGGCCAGCAGGGCCCCTGTGGGACGTGGGGCAGGCAGAGGGACAGCTGGCAAGGCATGACTGCTAGCATTTGTCAACCCTCAGGCGACAGGAAGTGGGTGTGGCCCTGTTCTGGTTTTGGGAGCACAGGTCAGAGGGGCCGGAGCCCTGGCAGACCAGGTCAGTTCATCTTAGGGCCGCCAGCACCCTGGGCAGGGATCATGGGTCAGTGTGTACAGAGTGATCCACAAGGTGGGCATCAGTCGGCCAGCCTGGCCAGGGCCCCAGGCGGTGCCAAGAGTCAGCTGTGAGCCTATGAGCTGAGCCGTTCCTCTAGCTGACCTGGTCTAGTCCTATTCTACCTCCCTGAGCGTGGAGCAGGGGAGACAGGGAAGGCTGGATTTTAAAGCTCCTACTTGTGGCCAGAAGGGAAGTCCAGAGCCTGCAGGCTCAGTCCTGATAGTAATAATAACGCACCTGCTCGTGGCATTCTGACAAGGAGCCAGGACACTGGCTGGCTTCTCCCCTCCCTGAACCCCCTTCAGAAGCTCTGCTAGACAGCGTGGAGGTCAGGGAGTCAAGATCTGATGCTCAGAGCTGGGACTTGTGCGTCCTACCCAAGAGCTGGAGGGGGAGGCAGCATGCGGCTGTGGCCTAGCTGAAGCTCCTGACCTGGGGTCTCCTGAGATTGGGGCCCAGCCTCCCCCTTCAGACTGAAACAGGGTGAGAGTCTTCACACCCCTATCTTAGGGACTTGAGCGCAGGCCTCACTTTGGAAGCCATCTCACCCGGTGGCCCCAGGCTGGGAGAGACCATCTTCAGGACACAAAACCCGCTCCTGGGCCCTGTCAAGACCCCACCTCCTATCTGACACCAGCTGGCAAGGGGCATGTGGCCACCCACAGAGCACCCAGGATGACAGTCAAGACCTACCAGCCCAGCTCTGGTTGGCAAACTAACACTTCCTGGGGCCCCCCTTGGACCAGCAGGGTTCCAAGGCTCTCTCCACCCCTCTGTAGCTCAGTGGTCTGGAGCACATTTCCTCACCTGTGAAACAGATAACAGTGCTACCTACTTCAGAGGAAAGGGACCACATACTATGGACTGCACCTGTTGCCCAGGGTAATAGCAACCCTTTTTGAGCCTCCCAAGTGCCCAAGGTTCAACCACAAATTACATGACCACTATACTCAAGGCTGGTGTTGAGGATTAACAGTAACTTACACATGCAGTGCATCGTGGGAGGCGATGACATGGATACCCTGTGCAGCAAGGCAGGTGCTAAAGACATAGAATGGCAGGGTGGGTGGGGTACGGGGCTGACCAGCTCCAGATAGGGGGAAACGCCTTACATCCTTGCCAGGGGCCAGGCAAGGGCCTGTCCAGGAACCATTACATAGTGGGGCACGGGGAGGGGTCGACAGGAAGCACTCTCTGCCTAGCCCGGATGGAGTTTGCAGGTCCAGCAGCAGCCACGCTATGGAACAGTCTCCACACTCTACTCCTCAGGACTGGCTCTTACAATCTCACATACCCCCTCCTCCTTGAGGTGCCCTAAGTGGTCTCCCAGGGGCTTCTGTAGCAGGGAGGTAGCATGTTTGGTTACCAATTGACTGCACTGGAGGCACAGTCCACAGCAACAATACAGACAATTGCAAGAAAAATGGCTGATTAAAAGAAATAATCCAAGTGTTAGTAACAATTTTTTCTGCCATGTTCCCCAGGAGCCTAACTAGTGTGCTAACAGGTCGCCCGGGCTTAGGGTTGGATCACTCAGGGTGTTTACTTTGATTTCATATGTGCTAACAAGAGACATTAGCAGATTCATCTGGTATAAGACACAGCCTCCAGTTTGGCTGATGGCAGAGGTGCCTCCCTGTGACAGTGCCGCAGGAAGTGGAAGTCTGAGGCCGGGCCAGAAAGACAAATATTTACAGGGACTTAAATTGGGAGATCGTAGCCGGATCTTTGGATGTGAGTGCAGCCACAGCTGGGAATCTGGCCAGGCTGTGTAAACCACCCGTGTTACAGAGAGAGGTGATGCTTCCTGTTGTGAGGAGGTAATGGGGGGGAGGGGGGACATGCCAGAACAGGGCCCCTACTTCATCCCCTCATTCAGTGGTGCACATACGTCTACATATAGTGTCTCCATGGGTCCCACCTGCATTAGGGTGACAGGGTCCCACTGGGAACTGAGCAGTTCCTCCCCACTTAAGAGCGTGAAATAACTGCCCCAACTGGTAGGATATCCCAGTGTAGATTCCAGTAAATGGTCCCAGTTCCAGGGACAATAGAGCTTGGTGCCCTCATTCTCATGGCCAAGCCACAGAGTCAATCCTTTCAGAAGGGCCCAGCTGCCAGTACACAGGGTCAGGCCAAGGTTCACGCATAATTAACCAAATCACTCTTAACTGGGCCCATTGGCTACTGTGATGTGCTCCTATTTCCACCCAGAGAGTATCAGTAGATGATTGAATGCCAGCTGCCATCCAGGTGGGCGGATACCTGGCTAGAGCCATCGGTGTATCAGGCTCCAACAGAACCTCCTGCTCCTCCTTTGCAGATTGTGGGGCTCTAGACAGGGACAGGGGCAGGAGCATTCAGAGGCTGCATGTATTCAGAGGGCCTCGTAGCTGCTGCATCCCTAGAGGGCATCCTCTGCTGTTGGTGGGCAGGCCATCCGGTCAGCACAGGTGTGAACCACAGCAGGAGCCAGCCAGTGGAACGTGTTCGATCCACCCCTTGATGGCAAGTTCTTACTCTGGCTGCTCCATCCCGGTGTATCTGTTCTCTGCCCCCCTCCACAGTTGGGACCAAAATCCCAGGGGCACTTGCTCCTTTTACCGTTCTTGCTGAATTGCCCCGCCCATGCCTCATGGGTTACTGAGATAGCCAACTCAAATGGCAAAAATGCCTGTGAGAGCCAAGAGCTTTCATCTGTTAGAGCAGAATGTTTGCTCTCAAAAGCAGCCTGTTCTGCTGCCCAGTCCCATGTCCCTTCTTTAAGCAATATAAGGGAAGGCATTGTGCCAAGTGGTATAAAAGTTCACCAACACCCCAGAATTCCCACAAAAGCCTGGACCTCTTTTATATTTTTTTGGTATGGTATTTTTTTGGTATGTAATTTTCCTATGACAACCTTGGGGACAACACAAGTCTTACTCGACCATTTGACTCCCAAAAACTTTTATGGCAGTGCCCAGGCCTTGAATTTTATGCAATTCACTGTCCGTCTCTTGTAGGTGGTCCAGTCAAGCGGGCAAGTTTTGAAGCAGAGGGAAATGTTCACAAGTCAATCAAGCAGTGACTATTTCTGGGGGACCAATTAATGTTGAGTCCCACAAGAGGCCTCTGATCGCCCCCTATGGTTGTCACCTAAGGACAATCTTGGCCTTCATCCTGTACTTGGGAAGGCGGGAGGCACCCAGCCAGCATAGAATGAAACCCCAGATGGCTTCTGCTCCAACAGTGTCTGCCAGGGTAACCGAGGGTATAGGACGAATTGCTGCTCGGGCCTTAAAGTCCTCCAAATCCTAATACTGCATCTGGCTGAAGGTCAATCATCTCTCAGGTGCCTGAGGCAGCTCCCGGGCTAGGCTCCCAGGCCCTTTCCTTCCTATTGCATTTACTCCCAAGTCTCAGCCCTCCCCGCAGCTCAGACGTGGAGACCAGGCAGTTTTCCAGATCACAAGTGTTTTGTCCCACCACAGGGCTCAGCATGGAGAAGAATGTCCAGTACTGTGTAATAGGGGCTCTATGCAGAATCTCTTCCATTCCTGCTGTGAAAGTGGCCTGGTCAGGTCCCTCAACACTGGGGCATAGTCTGCCCAGCGCATGAGCAGCTCTCCAATAATCAGCTGTATTTCTATGGACTGGGAGGCCCCACTTGCCCAGGCCACCCTGCAGGATAGAATGATCCATGGAAGTCTCTCCTCCACACCCAGGGTCCCGAGCACTTGGGGAAGCAGCACAACTCAGGGCAGTGGGCGCCAGCCAGGTACTCTAAGAACAGCCTCAGTGAGGAACACCTCAGGCCAGAGTGCAGAATTCTTCAGCAGGACCCCATCCCTTTCCCATGTGTCAAGACCTAACAAGGATGTCTGGGGTTTCTCTTTCCTCACCAGCCTGCCCCCACCAGTTGTTTGCTACGTCCCCTTTTTCTATTCCAGGAAACTGCCTCCCAGAGGCCCAACCACACACCCTAACTGCCAGGGAAAGCTGAGCTCTCCTCCCATGGAAAATGGAGGTAGCAACCCTCCCTGAACCCCAGTCCCAGCCCTGGATCACAGACACAGGCTGACTGACAGATCCTGACTCAGGTTTATTTGTACAAATAGCACAGGAGGACACCAGCTCCATGCAGACAGTAGCCCGGGGGTCGCACCAGTCCTTCTGTCCTCACATCCGCAGACAGAGGCCTCTACTGTGGAGCCTTCGTGGGGGCCTGGGCACCTTTGGGAGCCGGAGCCTGGGCACCTTTGGGAGCTGGGGCCTGGGCACCTTTGGGAGCCGGGGCCTGGGCACCTTTGGGAGCCGGAGCCTGGGCACCTTTGGGGGCCGGGGCCTGGGCACCTTTGGGAGCCGGGGCCTGGGCACTTTTGGGAGCTGGAGCCTGAGCTGAAGCTGGGGCTGCACCTGCACCCGCAGCCTGGGGCTGGGTTGGAGCCTTGGCCTTGGCCTTTGGCCGGCTCAGCCTGAGACCCTTGGCGATGCGGGCACGAGCACGTTTCCCAAGCTTGGGGTGAGCGATGTAGGCAAGTCGATTGAGCTTTTGGCTGCTGCCCTTTGGAATCCTGGGCTTGACCTCCTTGGGCTTTACGAGGGCCTTGATAGCCTCAGCGCGCGCACTCATGGCCTTAGCGTTGTTGGCCTGCATCTTCTTCAGGCCCTTCTTGTTGTGCTTCTTGGCAAAGCGCATGTTCCTTAGAAACTTGGGGTCTACCTAGAAGACAATAAAGGTACAGGCACCTATAAGTGCAGCATGTGGGACCCCTTTATCGGGCTCCAGCCGAAGCCTATTGGGCCTTAGACAGCATCAAATCCAACCTTAAATGCTGAAATACCCAACCTTTAGAAACTTACCTGCAGAGAAACTCATACTGCCACCCCAGAAACCAATATCCCACCCTGCTAATGCTACACCCAGACCACATTTTCAGGTCTACATGCCCAGAGCCCAGCAGAGCTCAAATGCAAGTGCAGAAAAAAAGAATAAATGAAGGCTGCCCTGTCCCCCACCCCCCGTTGTAGGGCTTCAATTTCCTACAGCAGGGCTAGGGTGGAGTTCTGAAACCCCCTCCGGGCCACCCCACCCCTTTAAAGAAAAGTGACAGTTAAACACCAAGCCCAGAACAACAAATTCACAGCGGATGACGCAGACCAAGAGGCCAAAACATGAAAACCAAGGCTCAGTTCTCCTCAGACCCTGCAGCCCCAACCTTCTCAGTTAATCCCCAGAGCTCCCAGCACAGGAAGGGAAGCTGTTCCCAAGCCCGGCACCCAGTCAGATCAAGGTCCTATGCTGGTCAGTGTGAAATGGACACTTGTAAGGTACGTGGTGCACACAGACAAAACCACTCCTTTTCCTCAAGTACTCGGGGTGGGCAAAGGAGATAGTCCAATTGCCCTCACGAGGCAGGTTGCACCTGACCAGGGGGTTACACCCAGGACTGGAAAAGACCAAGTAAAGCTTTGCTAGCTGAGTAAAGGAAAAACAACAACACACACACAAAAAACTGCAGACCAAAGCAAATCAACGACCAGTTAACAATGATGCTCAGGCAGGGTGTGAAGCTAGAGCCAGACAGACACACTTACCCCCTTAAGAGACTCGTATCTTTGTGATCGGGGTTTCTTGATGCCATTTCTGTGCCATTTTCGGGCTGTGGGAGGAAAAAAGGAATTAGATTAAAATAAGGTTTCCTCTAACAAGATTACTCAACAGCTGCCGAGCCTGGAGAAACCCTTACTTCCCAGAGCAGGTCGTCTTCAGACCCGGGGAGCCCCTATCGCTGAGCGCAAAGCACTGTTGGGTATCCCCGGGGACCCCGGGCTTCTAAATCTATATAACCCCAAAGATAACAGTAGGTAAGAACAAAATCGGGCCGAGGACCCCCCCTGCCCCCGGCACCCGTGACCCTCCCACGGTCCGCGGCGGAGGCCGGGCAGAGGAACTTACACTGGTTGTGCGTGGTGTGGTTCTTGGACTTGGCCATGTCTGCGCCTGGAGGACGGGAACGCGGGTCAGGGCTGCGGGCGGGGCCTTCCCGACCCTGAGAGCGTGAGGCCAGGCGCCAGCATGAGGCCTCGCACCTGCGGCCTCGCTCGCTCTCACCACCCGGCTCCAGTCCCCGAAACCGGCATCCCCGCCGCGTCCCCCAAACCCGAGCTCTCCCTCTCCCATCTGCTCGACAACCC